ATATAGCAGAACCATCTATACAGTATAGAACTTACATATAGCAGAACCATCTATACAGTATAGAACTGACATATAGCGGAACCATCTATACAGTATAGAACTGACATATAGCAGAACCATCTATACAGCATAGAACTGACATATAGCGGAACCATCTATACAGTATAGAACTGACATATAGCAGAACCATCTATACAGTATAGAACTGACATATAGCAGAACCATCTATACAGCATAGAACTGACATATAGCGGATCCCTCTATACAGTATAGAACTGACATATAGCAGAACCATCTATACAGTATAGAACTGACATATATATCGGAACCATCTACACAGTATAGAACTGACAAAGCAGAAATAAGCGTCCATTGTCCATAATAAAAAGATCACAAGATACAAACAAAAAACAAAGTCATCACTATTGGCATAGAGCACTGGACTTACAGTAAGCAGCAGGGGGTGTACACCATGAGCAACTACTTTGATAAACTGCATGAATACGTACAACATCAGCACCTGTCAGAATCATTTTGACCTAGATATCCTGAGCCTTGCACTACTCTGTCATCAATGCACGATATATGTTGTGTCTTTGGCTGTATTTGTGGGCCTCTACAATCTACATCCATGGCTACATACAAAAGTGTATTGGCGTTCTTTATGAGTGCATTGCATTGTATTGTTCGTAAAACCCTTTGAAGTCAAGAGATACCTTGGCTGAAAAATATGTTTCTAGTAGGTAATTGCAGTTGCAATATTGTCAATGTATATTTTTCATCAAAGTGAAGGAAATGGAAACATTAGGGCTTATGAAAGCACATAAGAGATTTCTGACGCTCTCGGAAACCAGGCAGCACGCACTTATGCTCGCACGCACACGCACACACACAAACAGGTCTTGTTTGAAAGTTGTTTAAAACGTCCAAATGGAGATATATTTCAGTGTTGTTGGAGGGGCTATCGTCAAACTAAAAGCTGTTGAGGTGGATGTTCAGTGCTCTGTGAGACAGCAGTCAGTGACCGTGACGCTGTGTGGCGCTGTCATAACTGACCTTCCTTTGGCCTGACTGTCTCAGTGCTTTCCTTGTCTCCGTCAGGGCACGCAGACGTGACACACCGTGGCCTACTCCTCTCTCCTCTCCTCTCCAGCTCACTGGGCTTTCAGCATGGGGACAGATGTGACACACTGTGGCCTCCTCTCCTCTCCTGCCCACTGGGCTTTCAGCATGGGGACAGATGTGACACACTGTGGCCTCCTCTCCTCTCCTGCCCACTGGGCTTTCAGCATGGGGACAGATGTGACACACTGTGGCCTCCTCTCCTCTCCTGCCCACTGGGCTTTCAGCATGGGGACAGATGTGACACACTGTGGCCTCCTCTCCTCTCCTGCTCACTGGGCTTTCAGCATGGGGACAGATGTGACACACCGTGGCCTCTCCTCTCCTCTCCTCATGGGGAGCACCATACAGATGCTCTACTTCTGGTGCTGCACCACCAAAGGACTTGAGCCCTTTCAGATCCAGGACAGGTGCCCTTACTCGTGACCTGATTCCATTCCCCTCTTACATAGCCTACAATAACTAATTGAATTCCAAGTCACGTATATGTCACTGCAAAAATCTCTGAAGCTGGAGTCACTTATTTACATTTTTTCTTTTACATTTTAGTCATTTAGCAGACGCTCTTATCCAGAGCGACTTACAGTTAGTGAGTGTATACATTTTCTAAATAAAATAAATAAAATAAATCATACTGGCCCCCCGTGGGAAACAAACCCACAACCCTGGCGTTGCAAGCGCCATGCTCTACCAACAGAGCTACACGGGGGGCCAGTGTGATTTAAAAAAATAATATACAAAATAATATCTTTAAGCATCAGTTGTCAGAGCAGCTTACCGATCACTGCACCTGTACACAGCCCATCTGTAATTAGCCCACCCAACTACCTCATCCCCATATTTTTATTTACATTGTTATTTATTTTGCTCATTTGCACCCCAGTATCTCTATTTGCACATCATCTTCTGCACATCTATCACTCCAGTGTTAATACTAAATTATAATTGTAATTGTTTTGCACTACGGCCTATTTATTGCCTTACCTCCATAACTTACTACATTTGCACACACTGTATATAGATTTTCTATTGTGTTATTGACTTTATGTTTTGTTTTACCCCACATGTAACTCTGTGTTTTTTTTTTTATTGCACTGCTTTGCTTTATCTTGGCCAGGTCGCAGTTGTAAATGAGAACTTGTTCTCAACTGGCTTACCTGGTTAAATAAAGGTTAAAAAAAAAACTTTAAAAAACAATGATATATTTATATGATTTGAACATGATGCGCGACATATGCTAATATCGGTTCCATGAATTGAATGGGATTTGTGCCGCAAATGCTAAAATGTTAGCATGTGGAAACAAAAAAAAAGCATGGATGGCTGTCATACTTTGTCCATAGACTGCCTACAGGAAACCAATGTCATTTTGTAATTTGGGTGAACTAAACCCTTAATCTTTCTTTCTTTATCTTTATTTTCTACAAATGATCGCACCAATAAATCACGTTTTGGATATTTTATGTGTGTATGTAGCAGAGCTTTGGTTCATTCTATTCGGTTTATCTCTCATCCTTGAAGTGGATGCTGACGTATGGGCGCTTCAGAGTGAGCCTTCCTTCACTCCCTCCCTCCCTCCCTCCCTCCAGGCGAATGCACTTATTTCACCTCTTTTGTCCCCAAAAAATCCTGTCTATTTCCCGCATCCACGTTAATCAACCTTGGTTCTTTCAGTGTGTTTGATTCGTTGGAACCATGTGTTCAGAATCTGACTCACTGTATCCATTCTTCTATCGCTCACTCGTTTGTCATTGTCCACGTTACACAATGTATTGTACAGACACTCAGGGGTCATGACAGGGTGCTGTGGACTACATCCAGGTCAGCAACAGAGCTCTCTCCTCTCCAGGCTTCAAAGACTAGAGTCCATATCGTGTCCATCGAGTGCTCTGTCTTGTAACGCCATCTTGGATTTTGTTCATGCCATCCACTCTCAACCCCTGCCGGCTCTGTTACAGCATTTCTATCAAGATCAGATCTTACAAAATAATTTGTTATGGGTTCAAAGTTCATAGACTGACTACAGAAGACAACTGTAGGGTTAATTTTATACAAACCTCAAACATTCTTACCTCAAATAAAACACTGTTAAAGGTATGTTGAATCACAGTTAGATACAAGCCTCAGTAGGAAAAATGTTTGGTTACTTGACCTGTTGACGCTATCTGTGCAGCGGTGTTCCAACACCATTGCTACAAAACAGCTGTGTTTGCTGTAATGGGTCAACAGTTGATATACTAGAAGAGCCTATAGGGCTCAACACCACAGCTGATCCATCCGTTAGCTGTAAATGCCATCTGTTGT